CTCACCACAACACATACCCTCCCCGTGTCCATCCCCCAGCAATCCCATCCCTCCCACACACCTCCACTCAAACAACCCCCAGTTTGTTTCCTGAGACTAAGAGTCTCTTATGGTTTGTCTCCCTCTCTGGTTTCTTCTTTTTAAATTTTTCCTCTTTTCCCCTATGATCCTCTGCCTTGTTTCTCAAATTCCATATGTCAGTGAGATCATATGATAATCGTCTTTCTCTGATTGATTTATTACACCTAGCATAATACCCTCTAGTTCTATCCATGTCATTGCAAATGGCTAGATTTCATTTTTGATGGCTGCATAATATTCATATCTATTTATCTATCTATCTATCTATCTATCTATATACCATATCTTCTTTATTCATTCATCTGTTGATGGACACCTGGGCTCTTTCCATATTTTAAGCCCCACAAGCTGACATTTTTGCTTTATACAGTCATTTAAACTAACCCATATTCTTGGCTTTTCATTCCTGTTGCATCTTTGTGTTTCTTCCTGGGATAACTTTCCTTCAGCCTAAAGAAGAACCTTAAAATGTAGCTTGGAAGCAAACTCTCCCTTTTGGTTTGTTGTTAAATGTCTATTCTGTTTTCATTCTGGAAGAATATTTTTGTCATATAAAGAATTCTTTGTTGGCAGTTAATTACTTTCTTTTGGCATACTGAAGGCATCTTGCCATTGATTTATGGCCATAGTTGCAATTATTGACAAGTCGGTTATCCATCTTACCAATGGACCCATGGCTATCTTTTTCTTTTATTTATTTTTTATTTAAAAAAAATTTTTTTAAGTAGGCTCCACACCCAGCAAGGAGGTGGAGCCCAACACAGGGCTTGAACTCATGACCCTGAGATCAAGACCTGAGCTAAGATCAAGAGTTGGACAGTGGAATGCCTGGGTGGCTCAGTTGGTTAAGTGGTTGCCTTCAGCTCAGGTCATGATCCCAGTGTCCTGGGATTGAGTCCCACATCAGGCTCCATGCTTGGCAGGGAGGCTGCTTCTCCCTCTGCCTGCCGCTCCTCCTGCTTGTACTCTCATGTGCTCTCTCTCTCTAGCAAATAAATGAATAAAATCTTTTTAAAAAGGAGATAGAGTTCAACACTTAACTGACTGAGCCACCCAAGTGCCCCTGTTGTTTTCTTTTAGATGGATGCTTTTAACATTTTCTACTTGATTTTATTTTCTGCATTTTGACTCTGATATGTTTAGATCTGAATTTTTTAAATTTAAATTTCAGTATTTTTAACTAATCCCTACACTCAACATGGGGTTTGAAACCATAACTCAGGTCAAGAATGACATGCTCCACCAATTGAGCCAGCCAGGCTCCCCATATCTGTATTTTTTTTTAACTTATCCTACTTTCATTGAATTTCATTTCACTGAACCTTAATATCTTCTATTAGTTCTGGAAAAATCTAAGTCATTATTACTTTAAATATTGCCTCTGCCCCCTTCTTTCTCTTCTACATTTAATTAAATATAGTTTAGACCTCTTCATTTTACCCTTTATGCTGTCTTCTCCTCTTTTGTATTTTCCACCTTGTTGTCTCTCCTTGCTTTATTCAGAGTATTTTTAACAATTCTCACTTCAGTTGTATCTAATCTGTTTCTGACACATCTATTCCTCTGATAAATTTCTGTATTGAACAGTTCTATAATTTTTTTTAAAGATTTTATTTATTTATTTGACAGACAGAGATCACAAGCAGGCAGAGGCAGGCAGAGAGAGGGGGGGAAGCAGGCTCCCCGCTGAGCAGAGAGCCCGATGCGGGGCTCGATCCCAGAACCCTGGGATCATGACCTGAGCCGAAGGCAGAGGCTTTAACCCACTGAGCCACCCAGGCGGCCCTATAATTTCTTTTTAAAAAGAATTTATTTACTTATTTGACAGAGAGATTGAATGTGAGCCAGGGGGAGAGGCAGATGGAGAGGGAGAAGTGGAATTCCCACTCAGCAGGAGCCCAACGTGGGGCCTGATTCAGGAACCATGTGATCATGACCTGAGCTGAAGGCAGCTGCCCAACCTACTGAGCCACCCAGGCTTCCCAGTTCTATAATTTCTACTGATACACTTACAATTTTGCAACATATTTTTGTAAAGTCTTTGTGATTCGGGCAAAAAGACCATAAATGAATGCCAAAATTATCAAGTGAAATTTGATGAGGAAAATGATATTTATATAGTCTCAAAATATCTTCTCATAGATTACTTAATAATTACAGAGGTAAAAATGATAACTTTTGAAAAAATCTGGCAGATGCTTTCTTCACCAAGTGATAAAAGTTAACATCACCAATAATGGGACAAACTGACACCATGTACCTCCTAATGTGATAGAATGAGGAGGACACAATATCACTTTTGTGGTATTCCTGTAAAAAAAATTTATAACCTGAATCTAATTACAACTCTTTTTTTTTTTTAAGATTTTATTTATTTATTTGACAGACAGAGATCACAAGCAGGCAGAGAGGCAGGCAGAGAGAGAGGAAGGGAAGCAGGCTCCCCACTGAGCAGAGAGCCCGATGCGGGGCTCGATCCCAGGACCCTGGGATCATGACCTGAGCTGAAGGCAGAGGCTCAACACACTGAGCCACCCAGGCGCCCCATGAATCTAATTACAAAGAAACATCAGAGAAATCCAAACTGAGGAACATTCTACACAACAGCTCACCTATACTCTTCAAAAATGTCATTTGTCAGGAAAGATGAAGATGAGGAACTGTTCTAGATTAAAGGAAACTGAAGAGATATAACCAAATGCAATGTATGATTCTGGGTTAGATAAGAAGGAAAAAAAAAGACTGCTAATAATGGACATCATTGGTACAACCAGCAAATTCTGAGAATGGACTGGACATCAGGTACTATGTATCTATGATAAGTTTGCAAACTTGATAACTTGAATGTGGTCATATAATTTCCTTTTCCTTGCTGAAATATAGCAGTAATGGGAGGTGAGATGTACAACTTATACTCCAATGCTTAAAAGATAAAGCGGAAAGTGGGGAAAATGCTAGAAGTTGGTGAATTTGTGTGAATTTGTATGTATATGAATTTTTCTGTCCTAGTCATGCAGCTCTTATGTAAGTTTGAAATTCTTTAAAGACAAAGTTTTTTAAAAAACTTATGATCTCAATTTTTTTCATAGCTCCAGTTCTTTATTGACATTTTAAAGTTCAGCTTTTATCTCCATGAAGCTAGCAAGCACTGTCTGATAATTCTGGTATCTGGAGTCCTGGTGGGCACTGGGTCAGCCCTTGTCTCTCTAGCCCTGCAAGTGCCCAGAGCACAGTGCTACCTCTCAGAACATAAGAGACTCAGCCTGGTGCTGACTTCTGAGTCCTAGACCAAAGTGGGCAATTCTGCCCAGGGTAGACATCTTCCTATGATGTGAAGACACCAGATTCAGACTACATCCTCTTTCTCCACCCCAAAAGTCCACCAAAAGCATGATTCTGTCTCTCCACTACTTCTCTGAGACTGGAAATGTCTCAGAGCTGAAGCAGTACCAGCTCACTTCTCTGAGCTTCGGTCATCTCCCTGATTGAGCTAGGTAATTCTTCCCTCTCTTATGGACTATTTAATGCTTTTAAGAAATGTTAAGATCTTTAAAAAATATATTAACTTCACCTTTTTGGTTGTCATCAATGCAGGAGTTGGTCTGAATTATGTAGTTTGCCCATACTATAACCTGAAACCATGTCTACCTTTCACTGTAACACAAAAAAGCTTTGCCTTAATTAAAAAAATTTGGATCAACATCACAAATAAGCCAACCACACTCTTTTTCCTATTTCTTTGTAACTATAACACACAAGAAATACTTGCTAGATAACTAAACTGGCAAGCTAACTAACTTGAAATACACAGAAAGCTACTTTGAGAACTCCAGACTTGGTTGGTCTAACCCGCACACTTGTAATGTAAAACTAAGCCTAGGATCTTCAGTACTCATTTTCCATGAAAAGTTTATCAATGCAAGATGAAAATAATTAATAACTGGCTTGAGAAAATAATCTAGTGATTAAACAGGAAATTGGATTTTAAAAAGACAATACCATTTATAGGATTTAGGGCTTCTTTCTGCAGCACTGCTGAGTGGGATGATGTCATTTCCTCTTCCTTTTGCTGATTTTTTAAACCATCATCTCTGGAGCTCTTAAGCCCTGAGAACTTCCATTCAGTGTAGTTCACCTGCTTCAGAATAAAGACAACAAATATAATTACAGTTGGCCCTTGAACAACAGGGAGGTTAAGGGCACCAAAAATCTGTATATAACTTCTGGCCCCCATTCTAAACTGAACTACTAATAACCGACTGTTGACCAGAAACCTTACCAATAACATAAACAGTTGATTAATGCATTCTGTATGTTATATGTATTATATACTATATTCTTACAATAAAGGAAGATAGAGAAAAATGTTATTAAGAAAATCATAAGGATTATCAGGAATAGCCAAACTATGGAAAGAGCCCAAATGCCCATTGACTGATGAATGGATAAAGAAGATGTGGTTTATATATACAATGGAGTATCACTCAGCCATTAAAAGAACTAAATCTTGCCATTTGCCACAATGTAGATGGAGCTGGAGTGTATTATATTAAGTGAAGTCAGTCAGTTAGAGAAAGACAAATACCATACGATTTCACTCATATGTGGAATTTAAGAAACAAAAAGATGAACGTATGGGAAGGGAAAGAAAGAGAGGGAAGGACACCACAAGAGACTCTTAACAATAGAGAACAAACAAAAGAGAAACAATAAGGGTTGACGGAGAGAGGAAGATGGGTGATGGGTATTAAGAAGTCCACTTGTGGCAATGAGTACTGGGTGTTACATGTAAGTGATAAATCACTAAATTCTACTCCTGAAACCAAAATTACATGTATGCTAACTAACTAGAATTTAAATAAAAATTTGGGGAAAAAAAGAGTAGAGCTCCAGAGGTGTCCAGAGGAATGCTAGTGTTTGCTGCGGCAACCTTATCAGCCCACCCAGATGGCAATGCAAGCAGCCAAGAGGGGGAACATTCGACTTCCACCTGAAGTAAACTGGGTTTTATACATAAGAAATTCACCATACAAAATCACAGCTGAAGAAATATATGACATATTTGGGAAATATGGTCCTATTCATCAAACCCAAGTGGGAAACACACCCAAAACTAGAGGAACAGTTTATGTGGTCTATGGAGGTATGTTTGATGCCAAGAATGTATGTGATAACCTTTCAGGATTCAATGTTTATAACAGATACCTGGTGATTTTGTACTATAATGCCAACAGGGCATTTCAGAAGATGGACACAAAAAGGAAGGAAGAGCAGCTGAAGATTCTCAAGGAGAAATATGGCATCAACACAGATCAACCAAAATAAACATTTTCTGCATTTTCATTTTAGACTAAATGACCATCTTCACCCTTTTCCTATTTTTAATTAAAGCTGAATGTTGTAATTTCTTATTTGAGATTCAAAAGGACCTGCTTGAAACTTTGATATGTATTAGAATATGTTATGGGAATAAACTTGTAACTTATAAAAAAAATTAGGAAAAAAGTTATAAGGAAGTGAAATACATTCATAATACTGTATTTATTGAAAAAAACCCTCATGTATAAGTGGATCTACGTAGCTCAAATCCATGTTGTTCAAGGGTCAACTGTATATATATATTGTATAATTATAATCATTTCATAAAATAATTATATATAAATGTAATTATGCAACCGATACAGTATACATTATAATATATAATCATTTTATTTAATCATAAAATACATATTTACAATCTCATATACTTTTAGGTGTTACATAGTAACTTTACTCCAGTTTCCTATGAAGAAAAGACAGTATCAAGCATATAGTAGTTGTTCAATAACTACTTGTTCTTTAACTTACTTTGACTATAGTTGAGGTAGACTGGTAAAATTCTCAGTATAAATTGCAGAGTCCATAAGCTGTTAAACTAAATTACACTGAAATGAATAGTTCAGAATTTAATTAAGCTATTTGTGTTTGAGAAAACATATGCTGGCCACAAAAAAACCATGATTACCGCTTATTTTGGGTGTCTGCTTCTACCTGAGAATAATATATCTGGGGACCCTAAAACCCATATTTTAATTCTGTAGAGTTTCTAAGGCCTTACTTGTAGTGTATTTCCGGTTAAGATGTTACGACTAAGATATTCCATTCTGTTCTTCCCTTGGACGCCTGTTCTTTTGCCATGTTTTCTTCTCGAGTAGCTTGCAACCTGGTGTTCCCTTTCCTTTCTTTCTCCTACCTGTGGAGGTTTTCGCTTAGCTTGATACTGGCCAGCTTCAATGGGAATTTCAGCAAATGCCATCTGGTCCTAAATAGAAGGATCAGAGACAGCCTTACAAGATGAGAGTTTAACAGCCTAGCATGAGACTTCATGTCTCTCCTGCCACAGAGCTGAGAGATGCCATCTCTCTCTCCTCCCAACAATAAAACCCAGGGTTTTGCTTCCTCGGTAGGCTCACGGCACTATGAGGGATGCAGAATAAGTTTGCCAAACATGTGACATTACAAGAAGGCATTTCTTTACTACAATTTTAATACTGCTTTCCTCAAAAATGCTCCACAGGACTGGTGGAGATCTGCTACCTGGGGAGAAAATGAAGACTTTTCCTCTTCAGATGAGATCTCTACACTGTTCTTGGTGTCCTCCTCAGGCTGAGCTTCTGGTTTCAGGAAGCTCTCTGGCGGTAGGTAGAAAGACTTCCAATCCAGTTGTGCCTCAACAAATCCATTGGGGTTCCCCGCAGGGTCAGTGAGGTTAAAATCACCTGAGAGACACACAGACATTAATAAGATCTGATCACATGAAGCAGGCAAGGATTTACCAGCACATTATCTATTCCCCAATTTTGAATTTTACCATATTTTGTCATTAATATCTATTACATAAGCATGATGATAATACACTCAGAAGTAACATAAAATAGCAGTGAATATTAATATTCACTTAGAATATTTGTAGGGGAAGATGGGTAGCTCCAGGTTTCAGGAAGTGATAGTCAAAAGACATATGGAAAGGTATATCTTGCTTGTCATCAGTCACCCAGCCAATAAACATGTCTGCATTATTATTACTGTTACCTAATGCTTGCTAAGTCTTAGGTAGACCAAAGAAACCATTATCTACACTTAAGTAGTCCCTATTTCTAAAATAACAAAAGCCAAGAAAATTTCAGCAAAACAGCTTTTTCTAAATGCTAGGCTTCTGATTTTTAATACTGATCAATTTAACAGATGGTCCATACTGCCTCATCTTTTTGGTAAAGAATGAGTTGTGAGCAAAGGTGTTGGGTTTTTTTGTTTTGTTTTGTTTTTTAGTTCTTATGGTATTGAAAGGAGGGAGGCCTCCTCACACACTTTCTGGAACATCCAGAAGCTTGTTAAACTTAGTTGGTACTGGCTATACCCATCCATACTTGGTAATGAGAGCACTGATACCCCTGCCTCACCCTCCCAATACTGGAACCAGAGTCGACCCTTCCTAAGTTCATGTCAGCTACATATTGGTGGAAAAAAGGTTCAAGAAATTTTTCATGATGTGGCATGAAAGTCTAACGTGTGCTTAAGAGAAGCAAGAAAATTACGGGAGAGTATTAAGGACATAGCTTAGAGTCTCTATCTCATCATGGGCTAAGAAATAACAGGCCTTAAGTAAACACAAATACTAGGAACCACTAGAGTCAGAAAAGGTTTTTTCAGAGATGGATGTATGGACTTTAGGTTGGTGGCTCTACCCACTTAAGAATCTTGCTTTTGCTGCTAAAACAAACAAAAAACAGAAGCAGCCAATGTTTCCGTAGGATTAGTGAGGCACCAGGTCTTCTGCTCTGTTGCTCTTGACCATATTCTAAAGTCCTCTCTCAGCAGGTTTTTTAAAAGACTGTTGCAAGCAAGTAATCAAAGAAAAGTAAGATAGGAAGACAACACTGGGCAGGGAAAAGAGAGATGTAATAATCTTGAACTCCCACCTTTAATGGATTTGTTTTGTGCAAGTGGAAGCAAGGGCACTTGGACCCGGCCAAGGTACGAGCCAGGCTCTGAGTCTTCATCATCAAAAACGTACACAGATAGGGCCTCCCGCCTCAGATACTTATCCAGGTCAGAGGTCACAAGCACTGGGAATCGAGCTTGGTCTCTGAAGTAGGGATTGTTACTAGCTGGAATGATGGCAGTGTCATGGTCAGAAAAAGTGAAGAAGCGATACATGACGTATGGACTGGGCTGGGTTCCCAGCCGCCGACTCCGGAGGCCGTAGCATCTGATGATTTCCACCCGCAGCTCATTCTGATGCTTCCAAGTCTCCAATCTGGACTGAAAAGATGTTGGTCTTGGATGAAGGAAAAGGGCAAGCTGAGAGAGTTGTAACTGAACCCCAGCACCCTTGATGAGGGAAAGCCTATACCTAAGGAACTGTTGAATTCTGACTGGGTCACGGAGAAACCTAATGACTTTCACCTGCCTGCAAACTGGCTCTGGCAGATAGTTATTTGAGAGAGGTGCCGGCCCTCAAGCCTTATCTTAGAGAATGCAATAGGGAAGCTATTTTGTTCACAGCAGGGGAGACAGCTAGTTCCAAGGGTATGATTTCATTTCACACCCAAGCCTGACCAAGGAAAGAATCTGGACTGGTTGTGGCACGACAGTTTTTCTCCTTCATTCACATTCAGCAAATACTTATTAAGAGTGGAAGACTGAGGTATTCTCATGAACTGCTTGGCTGTGGCTCCTCTGAGATGCTTGAGCACATCCTTCTTCTCACCTTATCCTCCCGGGACGCCCAGACTCCAAGCACACTGGCTGACAGGTAGGCCTGAGCTTTCTTCCGCTTATTGCCTGCTTGTAGGCTGGGTCCTATGGGGAAGCGCAGCCTCATCCAGTATTCTAACACCCCAAAGTTTTCTCCACTGGCTCCTGGATAGCAGAAGGTATGAAAGGCATGGAGGATACAGATGGTGTGGCAAGGATTAAGAATAAAGGCAGAGGAAGAAAATGGGAAACCACCAGAAGAGCAGCTATAGACTCTGGGAAATTCCACATTAGTTCTGGGAGCTGTGGGAAGCTGACAGCACTTACCAGTAAGTGTGGTAGAGCCATGGACCTTCTCCACAGTCTCTAGTACCCTCTGAAAGCAAATCCACGCAGCTGCAAGAGTGTGGTGCTCACTGGCTATGGCCTGGTATAGATCAAGCCGGGCTGAAGCCCCATGAAGGTAGTTCAAAAAAAGGGAATCTGTTTCCACCACATACTGGGAGGTGAAGTCATAGAGGGGCTGTGGCCCCACAGCTAGTGGGGTACAGTGTGTTTCAAAATCATAGAAGGAATAGGTGCAGAAAGTGGTAGGTTGAGTGTCTCCAGCCTGAGCCAGGGCAGCAGATGTCAGGAAGGCCTGGTGGATGTGTAGTTCAAAAAGATTTTCACTCTGATGCAGCAGAGAAATATCCACTTTCTCCTCATCTCCATGACTTGGCAGTGTTTCCAGACATAAGGACAATTGTCGGGTGCCATAAGCCACATCTCTGAGCTGTTCTAGAGGGAAAAGAAAACTGCCCATCCATTAAAGCATAGAGAGCTCTTCCTTAGGATAAAATAAGTTGGACAGAAGGAGAATAAAAATCATGATGAAAGTCCACATTGTTGATGATTTTGAGACACCATGTAATTCAAAAGGAAAAGCAAAAGAATGGCAGCCAGGAGCTTTGAATTCTGACGGCCAACTAACTCATGCCCTGCTTTAGAGATAAGGTACGAAATGAATGATTGGAAAGTAAATGCTAAGTTCAGGAAAACACTGGAGGCACACTTTCATCTACAGATGTCATTGTTTTATCTAACTGCAAGGTTCGATGAATTGTTAATTCCAACAGAGAAGCACCAGAAACACAAAATAGGAGTATTTCCAAAAATCTGGGATGTGGGTGATCGAAAGAATACCAAGTTATAGTCATAGTGCCTCCTACATGACATTGGGCTCTACCAAGAAATGATTTCCCTGCTAGCCAGATGAGTCACAAGAATCTTCATTCTGGGGGTGCCTGGGTGGCTCAGTGGGTTAAACCCGCTGCCTTCGGCTCAGGTCATGATCCTGGGGTCCTGGGATCGAGCCCCGCATTGGGCTCTCTGCTCAGTAGGGAACCGGCCTCCCCCCTCCTCCCACCACCTGCCTCTCTGCCTCCTCGTGATCTCTGTCAAATAAACAAATAAAAATCTTAAAAAAAAAAAAATCTTCATTCTCTTAAGAATTTGGTTCCAACATAAGGTGGCCAAAAAAAAGAAAAGAAAAAAATCCACTTAAGTCAAAGAGTAATGGAGTAAAAAGCTGGAGAGGAAACTTCCTGGAAATAGGTTGAAAATATTGGCAAAGGGATGAAAAGATATGTAAGACAGTCTACCAAATCTGTGCATTACCTCCCATATCCACCAGTCAGAAACTCTGATACATACTCTGTTTCAAATTGGGGAGTATCTGAATCATCACAATGTGTCAATGATGAAATTCCTATATTAAG